AGCAGGGAGCCCGATGTGGGACTCGATCCCGGGACTCCTGGATCATGACCTGAGCCGAAGGCAGTCGCTTAACCAACTGAGCCACCCAGGCGCCCTAGATTCTTTTGAGTTTTTAATGTAGGTAATGGTATCATCTAGGATTGATGACAATCTGGTGTCTTCCTTTCCAATCATTACAAATTCTCCCTTTCTTCACATTACGGCACTGTCTAGTAATTCCCATACAGAGCTGATTAGGAGTACTGATAACAGGCACCCTTATATCTTTCCAAATTTTAAAAGAATAATTTCATTATTAAATGAAATACTTGCTCTAACTTTTTATAGATATTTACTGGGTTAAGGAATTCCTTTAATTTCCTAGACTAAGAGGTTTTTTAGGAAAAAAATCATAAAGGATTTTATCAAATGACTTTTCTGTATCTATGATGGTGACAGCATAGTTTTTAATCTGATAATGTTGTGAATTATGTCAGTAGATTTTAATGGAATTTTCTGATATTAAACCATGCTTGCAATCCTATGATGACCCAAACCTGGTGCTGGATTTGGTTTGCTAACATTCTGATAATGATTATTTTATCTATGTTCACAGATGGAATGAGTCTGTAATTGTCCTTAAGCATCCTGTCCTCTGGTTTGGACACTCATAAAATGGGTTAGAAAGTGTTCTTTTTCTATTCTTTGGAGAAAAGATTATGATCTGTTTTTTGATGATGGTAGAACTCCTTTTGTTTGCATGTTTGGTGGGTAGACTGATCCAGTATCTTTAATGTATATAAGTCTAATCAATTTTACTTAGATCCATTTTGTAAGTTACATTTTTTAGATGTTTTCATTTCATACAAATTTTCAAATTTACCAGTCTAAATAGTTCATAGCCTCCTTTTTAGAAAATAATTTTTGTTCTGCAGTTATGTCCCTTTGTTCATTCCTAACATTGCTGGTGTTCTCTTTTGGTTTTGATTATTTGGGCTAGTGGTGTTTCCATTTTACTAGACTCTTCCAAAAGCCGACTTTTGGCTTAGTTGATAATCTCTGACATATATTTGCTTTCTATTTCATTAATCTCTGCTTTTTATTGTTTTCATCCTTTGAGATTTTCTGCTGTTCTTTCTCTCACTTCTTATGTTCAATGATTAGCCTATACATTTCTAGTCCTTTTCCAATATAAGCACTAAAAATTATGTTTCCCCCATGAAAGATGCTTACCTTGCTTTGAAGTTGAGGTGTTTTCCACTGGGAGCTCATTGTCATGGACCCTCTCCTCTGGAATAGGCATTGCACGGCAGCTTCCAAAGACCCATGGGCTCCTATTACCAAGATCTTCTTTCCATCTAAGTTGACACCTATCCACCAAATGGAAATTCAGTATTATAATCAAAACTTCAGAGCCTTTCTCCCATGCAGCTTTAGCGTTAGGAAAAAGAACCTTTTAAAACTTGGCCCTCTGAGCCAAGTTAGAGCCTATAATGACTATCAGCCATGATTTACTCTTTCTTTGTGAATGTTATGGCTGAGTGACTGAGAATCATCATCCTGATCATTCACAAAACGGAAAAAGTGTCTACATGGCTTATCTCAGCTTAATGGCTAATGTCTTAGAGATATGTATTAAAAATTAATCTTCTAATGGAACTTTGGTATATATTTTGGAGGAGTTTTTTTACTGAAGTAGAGTTGACACACAATGTTACATTAGTTTCAGGTGTACAACAAAGTGATTCGACTGTATGTCGAATCTGTATGTCACACTGTGCCCACTATAAGCATAGTACTGTCACCATAAACGCTATTTCAATACCACTGACTATATTCCTTTTGCTGTACCTTTTATTCCTATGACTTATTCATTCCATAACTAGAAGCCTGTACTTCCTACGCCCCTTCACCCATTTTGCCCACAAACCCTGCATGGCAACCACCAGTTTGTTCTCTATGTTTATGGGTCTGTTTCTGCCTTTGTTTGTTTTTTAGATTCCACATATAAGTGAAATCATATGATATTTGTCTTTCTCTGACTTATTTCACTTAGCATAATACCCTCTAGGTCCATCCGTGTTGTCACAAATGGCAAAACCGCACTTTTTTTTTTTTTTTTTTAAGATTTTTTATTTATTTTTTTGACAGAGAAAGACACAGCAAGAGAGGGAACACAAGCAGGGGGAGTGGGAGAGGGAGAAGCAGGCTTCCCGCTGTGCAGGGAGCCCGATGTGGGGCTCCATCCCAGAATTCTGGGATCATGACCTGAGACGACGGCAGACGCCCAACGACTGAGCCACCCAGGCGCCCCGATCATTGGCTTTTAAAATGAAGACCTATCTTGTGCTTATTTCATAAATCAGAATGACTACAAGCCAAATGGACAGCTAGGGATTATGATTACAGCACTCATTTACCAACATTTTCCCCCAAAGGATAATAAATGACCTTCCTTTTTCTACATGTTCCTAAGTTCACCTCTTACTTCACCATTCGACATACTTAACTGCTCCGTATTTGAGAAGAATACCAAAGAGATTCAGCTGTGTCCAGAATGATAGAAAAGATAGTTGCTCCGTCTTCAGGGGCGCCTGCTGCTGACGTGGGTTATAACACACGAGAGAAGGCAAACACAACCTCACATCTGGTAATGGGTATTCTTGGATTCATCAAAAATAATTCCCTTCCTCCCACTCCAGGGAGAAAATTAAAAAGGATGGCTAAGAGACACAGAGAGAAAGAGAGAGTCTGTGGGTGGTGAGAGAGAATCTGGTATGACAAAGACTCAGAACCACATGGCACAAAAATGAGGAAAAGGCCCAAGTTACAGTTCTCAAAGCAGCACTCGGCCAGCCAGGCCTCACGGAGGCAGGACGATCTACCTTTATTTTGTTAACCCCGAACCTCAATAGCTGCAGCCTGGTGGAGTTAATGCAAGGTGAGGCAGCTGTGGGAAATTGAACTTTGCATTTCCCAACACGCTCGCATTTTCCAATTCTGAACCTTGGATTACACGTCGGGCCGTTTTTGCATTCCACTTCCTCCGAGTCACTCTCCGGGCCTCGGTCACCTCCTCTGCAAAGTGAAGAAGTTGCACTCGATGGAAGGGGACTGAGGTGCAGTGGGAAGAATGCTCTGGGGTTACAAGACCTCGGTTCAAGTGCAGGCTCCACTGCTTCTCAAGGGTGACTAGGCTCGCCACACTTCATTTGCACGTGTAACATTAATGAGGTGATAGAGGAAAAAAGCTTTGAGAAGGAAATCTTTACCCAAACGTAAGGTGCTTTACTGTTGTGGATTACGTTTAATACCTACCCATTAAAGTATTCTAATTCCTTAAATTAGATTTTAATTCCTTAAACATCATTTACACTGGGGAAAAAGGGGTGAAAGGTGGAGCCAGGCTCTGCCAATGGGCAGAAGGGCCAATAGGGATAACACGAGGTGCGCTGGAGGGGATGTCACCGGCCTGTTTGCCACAGGACATAGGGAGGGAGCCCTTCTTTTGTGCAGTATACACCTCAAACTATGTACGACTAACAGGTGTCTCACCATACGTGGTCCCCTAGAGGGCATGCCCGTCAGTTCCAGCAGGTTCTCTCACAAATTCTCTTCTCACCAGTGCTAGATATAATCAGCCTGATTTGGGGACTTTTAAAAAGTCCCATTCACCTTCTTATCTGCTGTTCTTAAGTAATGCAATGATCAGAGAGTGGCAAGAGTGAAAAGAATGGGAGGTGACATCCAAAGGCATTTTCAGTCCAGGAACATGGACAAATCTGTCAAAGAACGCTCAGGGCCCTACATGACTCTGGTCACTTAGTCACACGTTACTGAATAACCTTGGTATTTGCTTGGCACAAGATTCGTGGTGCCCCGAGACCCGGGGCAGTCTCCTTGCCACCTGTAACCGGTGCGGGTGGGGGGCGAAGAGAGACCCCTGTCGAGGCGCCATCCTGCGCACCCCCACATGTGACCAGGGTGCCCCCACACACCCTCTCAATAGGGTGGACACCCTCCCTGGAGGGCTGGTGACAAGTCCAAGGCCTCAGGGAGGGAACAGTACTGAGTCTACTTCGGCTTCCTCTCTTAAAAGGATGTCTGTGGGGTGATAAACTGTTGGAATAAAACAAGAGTGAACTCAACGCAAGTCTAACGTCTTGGGCCTTGGTCTCTCCGACGTTTCACATCTGAGCTGTCAGGTGCTTTCGGGTGTAAAAGATAAGACTGTAAAGGTACTTTTAAAGACTGGGTTTTGTGATTGTCTGGAATGAGAGCTGACTCAGGACAGTGGCTAAAAATTCAGGCTGTAATGCCACCTCCATTATTTTAAAATTAGATTTGGAAAGTCTCTTTACTTCTGAGTCTCAGTTTCCTCCTCTGTGCGATGGGGAGAATGAGGGTCCTGCCGAACAGGAAATCTGGGCAGAATCAAGGACACAACATGAGCAAAGCGCTGAGCCTGGTTCACAGGACTCACTAACTCAATTAATGTGAGGTACCGTTCCTGCCATTATAATAAGGCCACTGGTTTGTGGCCTCTTCTTGTGAAAAAGAGTGATTATGCTCACCAGAAACCTTGAAGGCCAGAAGACCTGTGGGGTGACATATTTAAAGTGATGAAGAAAAAATATCTGTCAACTGAAAATTCTCCATCCAGCAAAAAGGTACTTCAAAAACAAGGGAGAGATTAGTGTATTTGCATATTAACAAAAGCTAAAGGAGTACATTATCACTAGACCTGCCCTACAGGAAACGCAAAAAGGAGCCCTCAGGGTAGAAATGGCAAGTCACTTAACATTAACTCCAAGCCTTATGAAGACATAAAGAGCTCCAGAAAAACCAGTATTATTGTATTTTGGGTTTGTAACTATACGTTTTCTTCCCACAGCATTTAAAAGGCAAATGCATTAAAAATTAAAATATATTAAAAAAAAAAACCCAATCATGTAAACTCACTCATCTCATCCAGTTTAAAAGCTGGAATTTTTTCCCCAATCTTTGGAAAAAAGATTATTCTTTTTTCAAGATTTCATATGTACCATACAAGTCTATTTAGAATTTTCCAATTCACTTTTAAAAGCCTTCTATAAGCCACGCTATGTAGTGAATTTAAACTGGAAATGATTTTGTGATCACTTAGCTTTGCTCAAAAAAAAAAGACACCCTTTGATCCTTCAAATGGGAAAGACTTGTATTTTTCCCTTCTTGTGTTAGTACTAGTTTTGAGGGCCTCTGTGCTCAGAAGGAGGAGAAATGAGATCCTCTGAGAAAAACAAAATAAAACGGTTCTCTTATTTCTGGGTTATTTCTTCTACACACAGCTGGGACTGACCCGATTTGTCACAGCTGGAGGCCATTTCACCCCGTCCTCCAGCCGTGTCTAACCACAAATTCAGAAGAGGCTCTCCTGCTAGCAGTGTGAGTAAGGGGGTGTGCACGCAGGGCCCCAAGGAATCTGTGAGCCTCTCTTCCCTGGAGAGGGGCACCACTCCACCTCATAAATACTAAATGCAGAACATTCTCTCACCTCAAACTGCTTTTGGCATCAGGGTGAACTCATCAAGGTGAGGCAGAGAGAAGCCAGTTCTCACTGGGCGGGTGGCTCTGTCCAGTCCCCGCCTGGGGAGACCTTCTACTCCAGGGGCCTGGGAAGATAAGTGTGGGGCCTGTGTTCTGGTGGTGGAAGGAACCCTACCCCAAAACATCATACTTCGTGCTTTTGCTTACTGACAGCCCATGATCCTCCATTGCATGCAGCTAATTTGGACAAATGCCCAGACATTCTTCCCCTCCCCCACGTATAAATGCATAACTTCTAGCAAAGCCCAGAAGTGAAGCTCAGAAACAAAGCAGGAAACTTATTCTTAATTTTCAGTGACACACTCAGATGGGCATAAAGCGGTAAAGTTGAAAATTACAGAAGTCTATTTTCCACAAAACTCTGAAAAGGCAAATCTCAATTCTTCATGCTTAGGCTCCATGGAGATTTTATGCATAATCAGAATCCGTTTCTATTCAACTAACTCTATGTAAACATCCCTCAACATTGTAGGAAGGAATATATTCCCATAAGAAGTAATTAATAAACAAGGAACCCCCACCAGACTGGACTTGAAGTAGAGTGGCTTCTGAGGGACACAGAGCTTGCGGGAAGGAAGAGGTCCACATTACTTAAAATGGTAATACTGGTGCGGGGGCGGGGGGAGTGATAAAGGCCAAAGCTGGGCACCCACTCTCCCAGACACTCTCCCTTAGTCTTGCTTTGGTTTCATCCTTTCCACCTCCAGATGTTGCAAGGCCCTCCCACAGCGACTCCTTCTGCCAGCCATACATTGGAAGCATGTCTACTGGGCTTCCAGTGAGG